GTTTAGGGTTTAGGGCCCTTTAGAGGTTTGGGGGTTCTTCAAACAAGCTTAAGGGTCTCCAGGTTTAGGGTTTGGGACTTGGGGATGAAGAGTTGTTGTTTAAATCTAAGGACTTTAGGGTTTAGGGTTTAGGGTTTAGGGTTTAGGGTTTAGGGTCCCATTACCTTAAATAACCATTGTATAGTCCTCATATTCCCCTTATATAGCCAGGCAGTCTCCATATTAGCCCCAGTAACCCACAAGGGTCCCTATGAAGGGTCCCTCCTAAAGCCCTTAGATTAAAGGGTCTTCGAAGGGCGGCCGTCGCCAAGGTAGCAGCTCCCATTCTTATCTAGGACATTTTAAGGTGGGTAGCTACCTTTATAGGAGCCTTATAGAAGGTCTATATACCTTATAGAAGCCTTATAGAAGCCCTATATACCCCAAACCCCCGCCTGCAGTTTCCTTTAATTCTTAGCTTTATCAGGGCTTCTAGGTTAGGCTTTGTGTTGGGTTTGGAGGTTTCATTCCTATTGGCTTCCTTTGGCTTTCGCACCCTCAAGCCGTAAATCCTAAACCCTGAACCCATCCGCCCCAGCACACCCCAGCCACACCCCAGCCAAATGCCAGCTTTACTGGGCCATGTAAGCCGCTGGCCCGAAGTCACCAAAGGCCGGATATGAGCAAACTCACATGTATGATGTTAGCTTCTGTACCTCTAATAAATACCATTGTTGCTTCGGGCGTATCGGCAAAAGCTCGGCCGAAATCTCCTTCAGAGGACAAGGTTTGGAGCGTCGACGTCCTTTCGGAAGTGTGTAGAGAACCAGGAACGTTTGCAGAAAGGAGGTTGGGCTGGCTGGAATAGAAACGACGCTGCTTGCATGATTGGCCGGCCGTCGCCAAGTTTAGGGTTTAGGGTTTAGCGTAAACCCTAAACCCTAAACGCTAAACCCTAAACCCTAAACCCTAGACCCTAAACCCTAAACCCTAAACCCAACCGAAATCTACCGGCGAGCGTGGCGAGGGTTTCTCTGGGACACCCTGACGCGCCATTGGAGGTGAGGCCCGCACCACAGCTCCGGGCGTTGCAGTTGCACTATGCCGCGATAGCTGCCAAGGGGTTCTATAAGGGTCCTACAATCTGGTAAACCCTAGCGGCCCTTACGCTTAAACCCTGAAGCTCTAAACCTTGAATCCCTAAGCCCGAAACCCTAACTTTAAAACCTTAAAGCCTAGACCCCTACATCCCTCAAGCCCTAAAGCCTAAACCCCTACCCCCCTAGACCCCACATCCCTAAACCCCCAAACCCTACACCCCTACACCCCTAAAGCCCTAAAGCCTGAACCCCATAAACCCCTAGACCCTAAATGCCTAAACCCCTAAACCCCTAAACCCTAAACCCTAAATGCCTAAACCCCTAGACCCTAAACCCTAAACCCTAACGTAGAGGCTCTACGACTCAGAGTCTGAAGTCTAGTCCCCGCTAGG